TAGCACTTCTTATCAATGGAAAGCAAATAATGTCAAAATTCTCAGCTACTGGAATTCGATTCTGTTAATCTAGAAAAAACAGTAGCCAAAACGTTGCTATTAATGCTTGCATAAAGTAAACATGTGCGTATCCATAGATCTGTGTCAATATTTAAATTTCGTTTTGGTTAAAAAGTAAAAACACTCGCATACACGAGAAAGACAAACGAAGACACAGAGACAGAGACAGAGACACGAGCACAAACAAAACTCTGTTCGATACAACAAAATCTAACCTGCTTCCGGCGCGACAGCCAACATTTTTATAATGAGGCGCCGTTCGGGTTACTCGATGCATGTGTTTGGAAGTGGGCTTACAGTTTTTATAGCTCAAAGCATGGCTAAGCCTTTTGTGAAACACTTTTCACGTGTGTCCATAGCACACGTTGTGACTAATAAGCCACGGGACGTCCCCAGAGCCAAACCATTTCAATTAATAAGAAAACTTTTTCTTTGGGGAAGTTTATAGAAATAACACGCGCATATATATGCAGTGCTTGTAGGTGTATCAGGTCCAATGCACCGCAAGTTAAATTGTGTTAAATGTGCATTTCATGTTACCAAAAAGAGCTGAAACTGCAGCATTGCATGACATGTGAAAAGTTCAAGTTGACAGCTGACCAATAAAACTGACAGCATATATGGATTGGATTAGCTATTGTGTGGGTGTGTGTGTGTGTGTGTGTGTGAGTGTGTTAGAGAGTTTTAGTCAAGTCAGCGAACGCATTGAAATAGCTAAAATGAGAAAACACATTCCAAGCAAATATGTTACACACACATACACTCACGCACCCCAGGCGAAAGGGGTTCAAGTAGCGGGGGTGTAGATAGGCAATTAGTCCTGCGAGCCAACAGGATTATTGTATACACTTTCAAAGGGTATTTACATTTTTTCAGAAAGTATTTTGTCTTTTATAAGAACATAATCATATTCTATGAGCACCTAACAAACTGTATAAGTCCTTAATGACAGATAGAGACGGATAGACGGAAAGAAGGAAAGAAAAAGATTGCGAAGTAGAAAGGGAGTTAGAGCAGCCCATTGACTGACTATGAAATTAAAATATAATTTGATATGCATTTTTATTTATTTATTTCTGTACTCACTGCGACAGAGAGTGAAAGAGAGAGCGGTATTAACTTACCATCAACTTTAGCGACTTACTAGAAACAGCTTGCTGAATAAAGTAAAGCTTTAGCAGAAAAATAATAAGATCGGTTTGATGAGTTTTTTTTGCACTATTATCTTTCTCTCTCTCTCTCTCTCTTTCTCTGATATATTTAGCATACCTCGATTGATTATTAAAGTCCATGCCAGCTAGAGCTCATTTTATTGAAAGAAATACTTCGAATATGATAACATTAAATCATCTGCTCTGCGAAGACGACTTACTGCAAGTGCATAAAATATTTATTTGTCAAGTCTTTTATATTATGAAGGGTATTCCACTGGCGGCTAGGTACATGTCTAATACTTCCTGAATATTAGTCCAATATTTGACTGACCTCTCCCGCACTGGTCAGCTGTCAGCTGCGCCACGAATGACCATCTGCTGACCTTAACAGAGAGTATCAGCGTATCAGCGTTGAGAGCATATTGCGAAATGTTTTCGGCCGAATGTCAAATTACGTTTTGTAGTTTGATTTGCAAACAAATTCTGGCCATAAATTATGCGAGTTTTGGCCAGCGGATATTTAGTATCGTTTGACTACCTATGTGATCAATCAAATCGTCAACGATCGTGCCCAAAAGTATTTCCACTCTGCACATTTATGTTTGTGATTAGGCACGTCGTCGTCTTTTTGTTGTGTGTTTGAGCAAGCAATTAAAACAATTTACTTTTAATTGCAATATAATTTTCTATTTGCACTCGAATTAAAACATATTGTCAACTGAGTCGCTGCCCAGACACCAGAAGGCCCTCATCGAACGCTTGTGCACTGTCCGTCGTCTGCCCACTTAATCGCGCTGCGTGTGCCTCCGTCCCAGCCCCTGCCTCCAGCTATCTGTAATGCCCGTCCAGAGACGACGTCGCTGTCGACTTGCCTAGGGCTGGGGGATCTGTGTAAAGTGCCACTGGCGCCTACATATCATACAACTGATAATATCATATCAAAATGGCCGCCTGCTGATGAATCACTCAGTTTTGACTATGCAAAATTCACTGGAGCTACAGATAGGCTAGCAAGAATAGGAGATCAATAAGATCTACTAAGAAGAGACACACTTCTAGTATTATTTTAAATAACAATAAATGATTATATCATATATAATATAAGTTATATAATTCCCATTCATTTAAATAGCTCAACCGAACACTCAAAGCCACAAGTTCTAGTAAGTGTAATACCATCTTATCCAAAGATTATTATTATGTATCGATTGCTTAGACATTGGAACCATCAAGGTCTAGTTGCCGATACGTTTTGATTTGATGAGCTCTGCGTAAGCAGTTGACCAAGTTGTTAAGCAACTCAGGAGTTAATCCCTCGGAGACTTGAGGCTTTCATTCACTTTCCTTTTACACGAGCATTTATCAAAGTTATGCAAAGTCAACAAACTGAGTTAAAACCTGCAATTGTAATTAAGCTAGTTTGCGATGATATCAAATTACATTGACTTTGTTGCCATCTGAAGTGAGGAATGAGCCAACCGCCCAACTCGGTTTATTCCCACCCGCATGCACAACCGCGCGCACACGTGCAACCAAGTAGAGTTGTTGTTGTTGTTGTTGTTGTTGTTGTTGGTGGTGCAACTTCTGCTCTTGTTTACATTGATTGTCAGCAATGTCATTTAAGCGCCATGGTGCCAAAGTGGCAGCCGCTCACCCGCGCCTGCCACACCAAGCCAACAGACAGTCACAGCGAATGGCCTTGTGCAACTGAGTTACCCATCGTCCGCTGCCCGTTGCCCGTTGCCTGTTGCCCATTGCCCGTAGATTTTCTGCTAGCGCACACTGTCAACACAGTAGGCGACACAGTCAGCAACGCATTGCGTGCATTCAAGTGGAAGCGATCCATCGATAATGCTCTCTAAAACTAATATTACAAATGTAGATACCGTTTGGCGCCGGACGCGGACGCCAGTTAAAGGCGACGGTGCCGCCAACTGTCCGCGACATGTTTGACATGTCGAGCGACACCAGCCCGACCCAGCCCAGCCCAGCCCAGCCAGCAGTTGCAGCAGAAGTAAACGCAGCTCCATGCCCAAATACCCACTATCCCAAATGCCCGGGCTCATTGATTACTGGAATGCGACACTGCGAGCTGCTGTTTGTCTGTTGGAAAATTCAAATGTAGCCCGGGCCACTCACAGCCTAATCCTTATGCTTGTTTTCTTGCACACACATGTGGCTGTGTGTGTGTGTGTGTGTGTGTGTGTATGCATTATGATAGGAACTCTGAATTCAACTTTAGTGTCCAACTCTAGCAACAGCTTATCGACCGCTCCCATTCCTCGCCATGCCAATTGAGGCACAGTGCTTTCGATCTGTATACGCCAAATTGACTTCTGTTTTGCAGTAGGTGTCATAAATTCATCATTCATTCGCGTGCTTAGAGTGGACGGCCTTTTTGTTTTATTTTTTCAGTTTATATTCTTTTTTAATTTATGATATCGCTCATTTGATTTATAGTGGGTCGCTACCAATTGCCGAAATGCATAAACTACAAAAAAAACTCTGCTACTAGCGTTCATATAGCTCGAATATTGTTGTTCTTACTTATGGGCATTACCTGGTGCCCGTCCAGCTGCCGGTCACCTTTTAACTTAAAACTAATCGACGCGTCGTTCCAATAATACTGAACACTTACGTGTCGTTATTGCTACTTAATGCTTCTTAATTGATTTATTTGAATGAAACTTTCATTTAGATTTATGATTGTGTGAAAAGGTTTTTTATCACCTGCCATTGGCTTTTATATTTTTACTATATGTAAAGAAATTAAAGCGTTCCAAATATCATAAGACAGTGTTTTACAAACTCTTGCGATTGCCTTTTATGGTGAGCTTCTTGTTATGTTTTCATTATCCAAATAGTGTTTAATAAAGATTAATATACCATTAACTATATATATATACATTTTTTCATTACTATTTCATTCTTGTTTACCTAAAATTTGTCAGTTAGCTGAGCCAAATTATCCTTATTTATTGACAAAAGAAATGAATTGCCGATTTTTAAGTTTTCGTTATTTTTAATATAAAATAAACTACCTAGCCTTTTGACTATATATCGAGTATTCAATATATATTATTCCGAGCCGAGCTGAGCTGAATCGATATATTATGAATTAGGCCAGCAGGCTGAATGGAACTAACCTTGTCAGTCTATTCATAGTACAGCTATCTCTCATATTGGTTAATAAATGCTTTCATTGCTTCCTTCTGTGCAGATCCGCAAATACATCTTGACGCGTCGTTACTAACGTAACTTGTCAAGCCATCTGAACACAAATACAACAAACTGAATTTCAGTACCACCCACAACTATATTTGATTTATTTTTTGCGTCTAAGGTAAAGTCAAACCCGCTGTCAGGATAATCCCAATATTTTCAAACAAACCTATTAGCCACATTAAATCCTTCTATGGAACAGGCAGAGATTATTTTCATCATCGGCGGCTTACGCCACGGGGCGCATGTCAAATTATGAATAAAATGCAGAATCACGCAAAGAGCAAAATTCAAAGGCACGGCCCAAAATAATAACAACATACACACACACACGCACACACACACATTTGAATGCCCACAAGGTTTATGGTTAGGCCAGTGAGTCTCTGGGCCTCTCACACTGATTAGGTACGACAGCTAGAGATCAACGCCAGGGGATCACTCAGCCCTAACCCAGAACGTAACCACAACAAAAACTCAAGAATGACGATCACTTTTCTTTCTTTTCTTCCCATGGCTCTCTCTCTATATCTATCTCTCTCTCTCTCTCTTTCCCTCTCTCAGCACCGAAACTACCTGCCAACATGAGCAACATGCACGATTACCAGCTGAATGGTCACCTGGACATGTGCCGCGGGGGCAGCTCTGCTGTCTTGCCCATCCAGAATCCGCTGCTGCCGAACAATGCGACCACGGGCGTTGGAACCAATGGCTTGGTCATTGGCAACGGTGGGGCTGCTGCTGTTGTTGGTGGCAGTGCTGTTGGTGCCTCTGCCGGCGTCGGCCTCAGCAACTGCAGTCTGTCATCCACGAACAACTCGGGCCGCACCAACTTCACCAACAAGCAGCTGACTGAGCTGGAGAAGGAGTTCCATTTCAACCGCTACTTGACCCGTGCTCGACGAATCGAGATTGCCAACACGCTGCAACTGAACGAGACGCAGGTGAGTCTACTTTTTCACAAACTGAAGCAATTCAAGTAGCAAGTAGAACGACTAGAATAGTTCATCTATAAGTGAAAGTCAAGCTTGAAGTCCGATTGTTCAATTTATATCCCAAAAGGCTTTCATACGGTCCTCGAGCTTAGCAAAGTAGACAGCAAAAGCAGCATCTGGTTTTTAGTTATTCCAATTATATATATAATATATAATACAATTTCATTATTCTCGGTCAATAAACTTCTGTTTACTTATGAAGACGTCCTATTTCTTAATTTTAACTTTAATTCACTTTTATCAGATTTTAAATCTCCTTCCACATCATATCCACAGAAGCTCATAAGTCGAAAAAACATAAGACAGGCTCCATTTTCTTTAAATTATGAAAACATTTTAACTTTCATAAAATTGTTGTTATGTTGCTTTAGCTTGCAAATCTCTATTAAGATTACATTATATATTTAGCGACTTTCGTTGCATCAACGTCTAGTTTCTATATTTCTAACGGAATTCTTCGATTCACAGGTCAAAATATGGTTTCAGAATCGCCGCATGAAGCAGAAGAAGCGCGTCAAAGAGGGTCTCATTCCGGCGGATATTATAACGCAGCACAACGCACCCGTGTTAACTGAAAAGCAGCCTCTACAGCAACATCAACAGCAACCCGATTTGAAGACTTCTGAATTGGCCAGCAATGAATTGCCAACAACAGCAGCAGCAGCAGCATCAGCAGCAGCAGCAACGACAGTGGCCAAATAGAGTTGAACTATTTGCAATCTAGCTATTGTTTTTGTTGTTGTTGTTGCGGATGTCATTGCTGCCGTTGTCGTTGATCTTGTTGTTTACAATACCCTGTACCCATTGGGGAAACTATCAAGCACTTCCTCGGACTAAGCATATCCATATACTTATCTGTCCGTCTGTCTGTTTGCATGCCATACCTAACTTATATTCCATAGGACGTATCCATTTCTAATTAGCTACGTGTACAGCTTCCAGAATCGATTACTATCGATTTCAAGTCATACATGAAGTAAAAAGTGTATTTTCAGTATTCCCAATATACATTTTGTTGTCCGTCTGCCTGTCCGCTATCAAAGCTCGGAGCTTTGGACTAGTATCCCCACATATAATACAAATCTGACAAAACTACATATATTACAGGTATTGGAGAATTACATTTTATATATATATATCTCAATGCTTGCTGAGTACGGGGTATCTGCTAGTCGCGCACTGCCGACTAAACAATTTTAATTGTTTTTGTTATTATTTTTGCTGTTGTATAAAATTGCCAAATGTCAAGCGCATTTTGTTGTGATAAATAAATAGACAAAATAAACATTATATGAAAAAATCCCAAAATAAATATATATATATATTATATATGTATATATAAGTATATATATGTATATATATATCTATATATATTTCATAATTGTAGCCAATTAACAGAATATAAAAATGTGTATACTAAAAACTCAAAGAAAAATTATATAAAATTCATTTGTAATTTGAACAAATAATTAAATCAAATACTAGCTACTGTTTAGGATCGGCAGCTGAACGTTAGACTAGAACAAACTAAACTCAGGGTTATATCATATAAACAAATGTCATATGCAAATTACTGCACGCCGAACAACTCGACTTGCAATGTAAAATACAATGCTTAACAAACATTATACAAACACGTTAAACTAAATCAAAATCTATGCGAATGCTACCATAACTGCAGATTCATATTCTTAAGCTGTTAAGCCTAATCGAAAGCGAATAGCATTGTAATTGGCTCGTACTCGTAACCGTATTTAGTATTATTATTCTGTTACTGTAAGCAAGGCCTTCTACGATAAAAGAATAAGAGTTATTCGACAAATTGGTATTCACTCTTGATGTATGTACTATATATATATATATATATATAGATATATATTTATACATATAATCTAGTCTTAATTGTAATATAATTATAATTGTACAACGGAACCAGACATAAATAAATAAACTTATTTGGAAATGTTTCTTTAAAAAACCTAACATCAAAATATTACAGGACACTTATATAGTTATGTAGTCACAAGGAAAGAACGAGGCTTATTATACTTAAAAAACAATAACTGTCCCACAGCAATAGAATTCTTATCAACATATGTATGTAGGTTTGATGAATTAGGGTATTACAAAAAGAGTCTATCACAGTAGTTCCTCAAAAATCACATGTGTACAGAAATTTAAATTTTCTGGGGATTTGCTGGGATACTTTGAAAATTTGACTAATTTGCTAGTATTCAAAATAACGTGGAAAATTCATCAAAGTCGGTTAGCATACTTGATGGATAGGATTTTAAGACTATGTTCAATATTTCCAATACATCAAACTCTATTAAATAACACATGATGGTGTCTATGTATCTAAATATCCACATACATACAAAAAATGAAGCTACATCGAATGTTCGTTTCTATATGCACGACGAGCTTAAGAACTTAGTAATCTTAGTTACATACAAACACACATGCATATAACAACAAAATAACAACAATAATCATTGACCTTGAGTCAGTCCTCCATATTTATTATAAATAACAGTCCCTTTGTTGTTTTTTTTTTATTTGCCAAATTGTTATTTGCTCTTAACAATAACTACATTACTCAGTAAACTGCGCTGCCTTTTGACATCGAACATTTCTCAACTAAATAACGCCTTAGACAAGGACAAGGACAACGGCAAAGCTGGGCAATTTCGCACTAAACTTATCAGCTTCGCGTTGACCTGAAAGGTGTAGAGAAGAAGCCGAGAAAGACCGAGAGGCAAATAGTGCGTGCATGCTGGTCCCTTATCTAACTATATTACGTATACAAAATGAAAACATGCCACTAAAGCAATAGCTAATATATGCTCTTTCTCTAAGTGAAAGAGTATATTGGTTTTGTGCAATGTAATTCTTGCTGCCCATCCTTCTGCCCATTTCGGCGCTATTAAAGCTACAGGCTTGAAAATTTATATATATACTCTTTGTATTCTCTTCTTATTAACTTTTAAGATTCTTCAGATACTCCTAGTAAGTGTGTGCCTCAGAAACGCTATAGTGCCAGTGATTTTAATTTTGGATATATCCAAATCGGATAAAAATATATCTAGGCCAGTTTCTAAGCTAGAATCCCAAAATTTGGCATGCGAGTTTCTGTTAATATAATTTTTAACATTATTAAAGTTAATGACTTAAAATTTGGAAATTTGAATCAATATATTTTTATTATTTCATTGTTTTGGATCCTTTACCCCAAAATTTGAGTGTTAGTTTCTTTAGAAATATTAGCAAATGGGACAAATGGGATAAAATCATATCTTCAAAATTGTTACAGCTGGCAGCATTTAGACCGAGAATAAGTATTATGCAATTAGTAGCGCCCAACTAAAACATTCTTACAAGCCTATTAATTTACATTGTAGATTAGTAAAAGTATATTTGAATATTAATTTTAATCAGGAGCCTTATATATCGATAAGAAAATTATCGATTGATTCACAATGTGTTTTCAGGGCTGCAAGCATATAGTTTGAGTGTGAAAAAAAACTTCCAAAATATCCAAAGTATTTGGATGTGTGAACATTTTTCAGTATTTTAAATTGAAGTAAGTCTTTTGGGATTTTGCTATATCAAACTATGTTAACACTGATTTGCAAGTAAACCAAAGTTTAAAAATATTAACTCTTACAATGTGGATAATGGATAACTTACAAACCTCCCTAACACCACTACAAAGATTACCAGCGTATATTAAATATGGCTTCATCGACACCCAATTTGGAAGGATATTGCTTGGAACGACGTCGATTCAAAAAAGCGGCACAAATTGCGATGCAATTTGCGCTTTATATTTCGTGCAGAATCACGACAACAAAAGTTTGGAGGATCTTCAACGACGTTGGCCCAAAGTAAAGCTCATAGCGGATGCAACGGCTATTAAAGAGAGAAGTAAAATTCTATTTAATGAAAAGGAAATCGCAAATGCCGTCGACATCGCAGTTCTGGGCACAGATCTGCAGTTGGCTGTGTGGAGTGAATTACTAAAAATTAAAACTGGCACCACATGCACATATACAAAGCTCGCGGAACTGGTAAATCGGCCAAAGGCTGTTCGGGCGGTAGCCAGCGCTGTGGCCAAGAATGAGGTATCCATTTTAATACCCTGTCATCGTGTTATATCAAAGAGCGGGGCCGTAAAATATGGATGGGGCGCAGCCCTTAAAACTTCCCTCTTAAACTATGAAGCAAATATATAAATCATTTAGTTTTTAATTTGTGGGATACATATGTATTTATAAAATGGTTGGTTTATTGAAATTCAGATCCGGACTTCAAATGTGTTATTCTTCAGTTGGTTGGTTGACTTATATAAAAAAGAAACACATTACGACGAAATGCACACTCTTTGTGAATGGAACAAACTGAAATGCAAACTATGCTCGAGATTGTGCAACAACTCCTACTTAAATTTTAGCTAGACATATTAACATACTTCTATTCTCGATGCAGCAGCACAAATATTGCCAGAATCGAGAGTATGGCCCACTGTAAATATACAATTAATGAGCAGGTAAAAATATTGCTAAAGTAATTAAATACTAACCTTAACTTTGGGATATTCATTCATAAAAATCGTTATAATACCCACATAGGGCAGGAACCCTCTGGCGCGACCCACAATATCCTTTTTGGTTAGCCACAGCTGGCCAGGCGCATACAGCCCCCGATCATCTACATTGTTATTGTCGCCCTTGGTCAGGAACTTAACTGTGCCGTCTTCCCTGTAAAAATGCAATTTACAATCATTCGCTTCACAATATTATTTTGGCAACCGTAATTGTACGTACTTTTCGTGCAATTTGATTACACGATGCACTATGGGTATGTCCCGTCCCTCTACTTTGAAGACTACAATCTCACCAACACGCACCGGCTCCTCTTTGTAGTTGGTGAGAAATAGAAGGTCGCCCCGATGGAAAGCCGGCTCCATGCTACCGCTCAGTACGACAACAATTGGCGATTCGCTGCCTGTGACTACCATTAGACCTTTCCAAATCATCAATGCAGAGGATACAATCATTGCAAAGCTGAGTACTTGATAGAGTGACTAAAAATATGCCAGATTTCCTTTACTAAACATGGCCAAGAGGCAGGAGTTGGGAGCAGCACTCACCTGGCGTTTGTTCATTCTATTGAAATCGCCCAGCATTTCGTCCACTTGCAATATACTGGCTATGCCCATGGTTGTGATTTTATATTTGTCTCGCTATCGATAATAATAAAAACCCCTAACAGGAAACTTATGCAAATTTGGAACAATATAATTTCAGTTCCACGAAGACAAAAATTAGCAAATTTTGTAGCGCCTCAGACGACGCGTTGGTCCGACACGTCAGTAGGAATTGCGGTGTAACTAAACTACAAAGCTACTGAAATCCTAAGACTGCAAAGAAATTATACTAGAAAACACTAAAAAATACTAAGAAATTGCTGGTATTAACTACCATATATTTCTACTTAATCGTCGATATCTTATTGAAACTGATATCGGTTCGACAAGTAGTCTGTGTGGGTATGTTGTTTATTTTATGAATGTATGTAAATCAGGACCGCATATTAATTAAATAAATATTTAATACAAAATAAACAAGAAAAGACGATAAAAATAATAAAGAAATAAGGTGAAAAGATGAACATCAGAAACTTAAGAAATTAGATAGTATCATAGATATCTGTAAATGACTCGATAGCTTTTTATTAATATCGATTCTTCTAGTAAATAGTATAATAACAGCACTATGTTATGTGAGTTTCGCAGCTAGTACAATGTCGATTTATTTCACGATAATTTGAAATATATATTTATATCGGTGCCGGTGTGCATGCATGCTTCGCATTCTTCGAATTTTATACAAACTAGAACACAATAAAAACTAAAGCAAAAATGGGTGATAAGCTGTTGGACACAACACAAATTATAAATGGATTGGCTGTGATGATATCATTTTTTGTCGGTTATAAATATGCCCTAAAACGTGGTGAAGCTTGCGCAAAAATTGACGACACTCCAGCAGAGACGCCTTCAGAAGGCGCAGCTGTCGCAGTAGCTGACAAGGTGCGATTGCAAATCATGAATGGCAACTAGAAATATGCAATAAGCGCTTCTCTCCTTCCAGACCTATGGCGGCTTCAATGACAACTACAAAATGGTTCTCGTTGTTCGAAACGATCTGAAGATGGGGAAGGGGAAGATTGCCTCGCAGTGCTCCCACGGAGCTGTGGGCGCTTACCAAAGAGCTGTGACTCGTACGCCACGCTTGCTGCGTGCCTGGGAGAATTGTGGATGTGCGAAGATCGCAGTGCGCGTCGAAAGCGAAGCCGAACTGATGACCATCAAGCGAGCCGCCGAGCAACGACAGCTGAACACTTGCCTCATCCGCGACGCTGGACGCACACAGATTGAACCAAACTCGAAGACTGTTCTCGCCGTCGGACCCGCATCAGCAGTCGAAATCGATCGTGTGACTGGCCATTTAAAATTGTTGTAATTCAAAGCAAGTGCAACCAGCGACATAGGAAACACCCAATTCTCAGCAAGCAATATGTGTGACAGCAGGTGGTAAGCAACCACGACAATGATAATGACTGTGACAAGCACGTTAAACTAGGGTCTAGTGCTTAATTGCGTTTATTTGTACACTGAGCTATAACAAATTAAATCCTTTATGATGCTGCTGTCTTTATTTACTGGACGTTCCATAGTCTTTTATTTTATTTTTCTTTCTGTTGTTTTTGCAGTCACTTTTTGGTCTCCCCACAGTCCTCGATGGCAACCCTTGGCACCTCTTGCCACCTATCGGGTATAACCTTAAATAATTCATCCTTCACATCGCCCTGGATGACAATATCTTTGTCGCCGCTCACTGATGAGCCGCACGCAAATTTGGTACCAAAAAATTTTGCTGCCGCTCGCAAATCGATCTTGAATGCAGCCATCCCACTCACTAGGGTTACTCGCTTGTTCTTGCCGCGCGTGGTGCAGGAGAGTCGAATGCGTTTTGGTACATCATCGTCGTCGCTGTCCTTTTTCACACGTAGCATACCCTTTCCACCCCGTTTCTGGCGCTTTTTTTCGGAATCCATACCACAAGCAGCTGCATTTTCATCACTTAACATGCGTTTCTGATAGTCTTCGGGATAGTTTATGGCCAGCCAATCTTTGCACTTGTCATACTCCGTATAGAATTCACAGTACTCGATGGGCATGGAGCAATGTCCGCAGTACTTTACCTCAAGAGGATATGTGACGTCCAGTACGCCTTGGTTTTCATTTATTTGGTCTTTTGTCAGGTCCGACTCTTTAATGTCATCCATATTTTAATTTATACCCCAACGAATGTTTTATGTTTAAATGATATTATAAGCAAAACATGCTTAGTATAATATTCACGTTTTTCAGGTAGCGGAAAAATATTTCAAAATCATAGAACATAAAACAAAACACATTATGGCCTAGTGGCCCAATTTCAATGGCTTCATATGTTTTAGTCAGGCTTAAGTAAATTTTAAACGGCATACTTTATAGGAGACCCGTATCTATATCAATATAAATACATATATTCTTAATTTTTCATTTAATTTTTAAGTACATTCCTTTAATGGACCGGAGGCGAAAAGCTATACTTTTTCAATTACACTAATTTGGGGTTTTTCTGTTCATAGATACAAATACACGCGAGTACATAGTATACTGCGTCCTTAGGGAAGAGCACTTAGTTATTAGCGTTATCAATATAATATATCATTAAGTTTTTTTTACTAATATTTTATTATATTGAAAAATTGTAAAAGTTGGATTTTTGCTCAGAGAACAAATTATTGTGTGAAAAACAAAAAAATAGCTCCATAATAAAAGAATATTGTTTACAATAAAAAAAATAAAAGAAAACCTAAAAAGTCAGCCAATCGTAATCATTTTCGCCTTGTGTCGGCTGCGGCTCCGGCTGCTGTTGCATATTTGTTGACTGGAGTTGCTCAAGATCCTGTCCGGGTTGATAGTTAGACTCTTGCTGGTAGTCAACTGGCTGGACGGGCTCATTGGATTCATCCAGCAGATATATTTGCTGCGCGGATTGCTGATGGGACTGTTGCGCAGCCAGTTCGGCATCATCGAACACTTCCTTCTTGATGCGCACACCATTATTATCCTCGTCATCACTGTCAGATATATCGAGATCGTCATCTATGCCCATGGCATTGTTATTGCTCGATGTCGACGGCAAATCCTCCTCCTGCTGGGTAACTGCTGCAGCACTAGTGCTTGCTTCCGGCGGATTATACTGACCGTTGTCATCCTGAGCTTGAGCCATAAAATCAGAGAAAGCGCTCGTAGCATTATAGTTTTCGCCAAAGTTTTGACGTGGCTTGTGCATGGCCAGGAAGTCTGAGGGATCATAATTAGGATCCACATCCATAGATTCATCTGCAAAAAGTGAAAAGAAAAACAAATTAGCAAATGCATTTGAATGGAATAACTAGGACCGGGGCATTGATCTAAGACTATATTATAACAAATATAAAGGTCGAATATAGGGCAGAAGTATTTTGGTGGGTAATATATGAACCTTGCTGCTGTTGAGCGTAGTAGCCAACTCCACTCAACTGCACCATAGCTTCAGCCGCTTGCTGGCTGTCATCCTCGCCGCATTGTTCCTCTATCAAAAAACCGAAAGTACGAAATACGAGAATGTAGGAGAAAAACAGAATACAAGCACACAAAAGAAAACACATTTAGATTGAAAGAGTCAAAATTACGTCAAATCATATAAAAACAAAGATGGGTATAATATATTCCCTGTATTCAAAGAGTTTAAAACACATACGAAAGCAAATCATAGTTCTCTTATTTATCTAAGTATGAGTACCCACCTGCCATTTGCTGTGCCTCGATATCGATTTCTGTTTTGATGTTCTTTGGATCGATATAATCCATTCCATCGTTGGGCGCATGTATACGCTCTCCCTGATCCAAAATATGTGCAGCATTATTTTCATCTTCAGAAACTTCCTGGAAGTCCTCCTCATCGTCCTCATCATCATCTGTCGAGCATTGCAGATCTAATTGTCGTTGATGATAAACATAAAAATCATTCTTTAATATTAAATGCTTTAAAATTAGTTTCAACCAAATAACTGAAAAAAGTTAATGCAGAAATAAATTGGTTTAAATTATTTAATTATAAATAATATTTGATTAGGTAATCTTGGGGTTCACAGCATAGCAATAGACTTGTAGCAGGTTTGACAAAATTAAATTACAAAAAATTAGGTTTTTTGAATTGTTTAAGAAAAAACTTAAATTTCAAATCCAAACCAAAATTTGTAAAATATTGAAATTAAAAGTGATTTATTGGTTTCGAAGACTTCTGTTGAAAGGAAGAATTATTTTAACCTGTGCTCTGCATTTTAAATACAACATTTTGCGATAAAACTAAACTAAAAAAATCAAATACCATTAATAATAAGCATAAATAAATAAATTGGAAAACTTGTGATATTTCAATTTAAAGTAAATTTAATAAATTTGTTTAATATAATAAAAGCCAAATCCAAAACAATGCAAAATTTAATATGAAAGCTTTAGTGCGATAAGTGTGTGTATAGGTGTATGTTATGTGTATGTGTGTGTGTGTTTTTAAAAATTTTTTGTTAAAGAAATTATCGAAAGTACGTCTGTGTGTGTGTGAGAGGGTATATGTGTGCGCGCGGTATATATAGCTGTGGTCCACATAGTTATTACGTAAGTATATAACTGCGTATAAGTCTTACCTTCGTCCAGAAAGTAAGCTTGCGTCTGACTCATATTAGAGCCAAGGCTGTCCTTACGGGGACGGCCCCGACCACGTTTAACCGGATTTGCATTTTTGACTAGAAAATAAAAGTTTGTTTGCAATTCCACTTTTTGCACGTTGTATTGTTTACAGGGTATATAGCGAATAGCGAATAAAAAGTGAACATTGAAGTCTACATTAAATTTTTTTTTTTGCTGTGTGACAATCAAAAATAATCACTAACACAATAATTGCATCGTCCTTGAAACATACATTGATTTGAAAGCAATTTGCTATTTTTATATGCTTAACTCTATTAAAGGGAGACAGTCGAGTTTTACTATCTTCGCGTCAAGAACCCTTGAAGGGTATTAGGGCAGCTTGCTTTTTATCTTTGATGATGAAATTGCATGCATTAGAGTCTGAAACTAGAGTCTAAACTCACATATCAATTTCTCTACTTTCACTTACACACTACTTTAATATGATTGTCTTAAGAAGGGAATTCTGATTGTGATAATTTTGATTCTGATTAAGAGTAATTTTGAATTTCAAACTGACAAATTCCCGGTTTGACTTAAGTCCCTTTTTTATTTTTAGTGGGCAACCCATGGATTCTTGATTTCCATTTATACATTTTATTTTTAATATGCATTTTGTACAGTATACGCTGGCCGTTATGCAACCAGCTATTAAAACCAGATATTTTAAATTTGAGTAGATAATCGTGGGTAGCTTTATCTGAAAATCTGATGTGGGATAGTGTTGGATATTTGGAAAAGCATGACAAAAATAGAAATACCTGTCTATTTTACAGCATTAACAGGGATAAAGCTATATTTTAAATTATGTAAATCACAACACATCGATTTTTAATTAAGTTAGCTATTTGTAAACTGAACAAACACTATGCATTATACTTTATGATTATATGAAATGAATTCGTAGCTCAAATAACTAATTGAGCTATATACAATACCCAAATTCAAATCATATAATGACAGCGTAATTGCTAAATATTTTTTCATAAATTTACATTATATATTCAAGTATATTACTTCAAACAAAGTGTTTTTCTTTATACAATTTTCAATCTGAATTTTCAACTTAAGCATAATAATAATTTAACTACTCTACTTCAATCAAATATCAAATATGTTATACAGAATACTGAGTAATTAAATTATGTTACTTTCAGACTATCTACACAGTCAAGTACTGAAGCTCGTTGAAATTGGCGTAGTCTCTTTGCTAGGTAACTCACTAGACATGAAGCTAACACTATATATACATATTATAATCAAAAAGCTATCTGCTGGAAAAGTCAAGTATTTTTGTATTAGTAAAAGCGAATGGTTCAAACGCTATGCAGACCATAACCAGAGGATCATGTGGGATCCAATATATATATATATATATATATATATATATATATGTTTATGTTTATGTAGCATGGAATAGTAAAGCGGGAACATAACCAGTATTAAACAAGACCAAGGGGTAGATATGTTCATATGTATGTATGTATATGGATGTACTTATGTATATATGAATTGATGTAAGTGTACATATGCAACACCAATTCCCAGCCTGGACCGTAGATAATATGATAAAAAGTAAAGCATAAGCTGGACATACCCTCCTCCACGGGATCACGTTGCTTACGTGGACGACCACGACCGCGTTTCACCTCGCTACCTGCAGGCATCGTCGGCTTACGCGCCGGAGTCGTACCATGCGATAGATTACTGTCGGCACCCATGGTCCGATGTATTGAATTGGGTGTCACAAGTCCCAGTCCGCTATGACCCTCCACATCGATGTAATCATCGCCGGGCGAACTGGCCCTGCTGCGGCTCAGTTCATAGTCCTCGTTGCCCCAGGCCTCTTCAAATTCGGGAGCGTTTGCTCTGGCCCGTTCCTGGGTCTTCATAATGTTCTCTTCAAGCTGGGCGCAATGATCAGCAAACTTTTAAAATAGAAAGATGTATTTATTATCAGGAGTCGGTGCTTAACTTACTTTAAAGCACTTACCTCTACTAGCTGCGAGTGAGCATACTCCACCATCTTCTTGGCATACTTGGTATACTGCGCTTCGCTGCCATTGTATTGCTCGCAATTGGCAGCAATTAACTCGATGTCCCCTAGATATTCAGCGCGACTGTGATAAACGTGGTCTGTAATATACATCAAACATTTTTTTATTTATTTATTCAAGTATAGAAAAGAAAAATATGTAGATTAGTCTGGAATGCCCAGTACGGAATACCCTAAGCTCATAGCTCTTCATAGCTCGTATCTATGAATGCATCTACAAACCATTCGCAGTTACAGAATTTATTAATAGAATTCGAAAAAGAATGCATACTCATGTTCTACATATTCAATTGTGTGAATTTCAATTTAAAGAGTTTAAAATGTGCATAAAATTAAATGGAATCTATGCCCAGAGAAGTAAGAGATATGATTTAATAAATTATGTTCGATAATATCTTATTGAAAAGTGATATATGTGTAAGATTTCAAGTCTCTAGCTGATCCTGAGCTGTTAATATTGATCAAGGATGTCTGTATTTCAATAGGTCTGCCTCGTCACCTTTGGCCTGCTGCACATATTTGAAAATAATTTATGAATATTTTATATATCAATGATATATAGCAAAAGGTCTACGACTGCTATTCAAATGCCTTCATTAAAAATTTAAAAAAAAATAGCTTTCATTGGTTCCTCGAAAGCTTTGTTCATACAGACAGACGTCGGAAAAAAGGAACAGAGCTAGGTAAGCTAAACTATTGTTCGTGAACATGCCTGACTTTTTCTTTTTTATACCCATTGAAAAGGGTGATTCGGGGTATAATGATTTTGTGAAGCGTGGCAAACCCCATGAAGTATATATATTTTTGATCAGCCATGTCCGTCTATGCAGTCTATGCAGCGATCTCGCTAGAGACTTGAAATTTGAAATGTACAGTTTTATAGCTCATCCCATTTCCTTATTATCGATTAAAATCGAAAATTTAGCTTCGTGTTTCAAGCGTAGCTTGAATATGGCAAATGCTGGAGATTCAGATACTGTGTAGGTTCGTGTCGTTAAAACAGTGATTTAGTATGTTTCAAATTTCGAATATCTCCCCATGTTACCGAAATTTGAAAAAAATCTATTTCAAATCCAAGGGACTTGTGCTTTGGCAAATACAAGAATTCGGATGCTATAAATATGACCTGAAAATTTCTCAAAGTCGACCCGTCTCGACTCGACTGAAGCACTCTTACTTATTAATCTTTACCTTCAATGTAAGAAAAGTGTTCAAAAATGAAAAGTCTACACAAAAACCAGAGGGGTTAAATCACTTTTTCACAATATAGTAGTATAATACTTCTTTCATACTTGGGTAATTTAAACAGAATTTGTATATATATTTATATAATTTATTCCACCACTTACTTTCAATATTCTTGCCAATCGTTTCCAAATCCATGGGCTTCTTGATAACCGTATAGTAATCCTTGATTGCCTTCTTGTTGACTGGCTTGTGAAAAGGCCAGCTCTCGGATTGAGTTTTGATCTGTGTGTGTAACTTATCGAAAATGAAAGACAGTGCCACCTGATCGTCATCATCCAGGAGAGGATTTATTGCCTTCTCAAGCCTCATCAGCTTATCCTCGCGCTCGGAAAGCAGCTCAAAGCAGCTGTTAAACATGCGCTGTGCAGCTACCGTATAAGCGCTCTGTGATCCATTGTAAATCAGCGAGTTGTCCACGATTTGCTTGAGATCCTCGAGGAAAACTTCGCGGCTGGTGTAACGACGCTGGCGAATGTACTCGCGCATGGTCTGCAGATCCATGGGCTTCGTGACCACACGATAATAATCTGGTACGCGTTTGGCATTTACCGGAAAGAGAAATGGGGATACGTCTGGCATGGAGCGCAGCTCATTCAGTATATGCTCCAGTATAGACGAGAGAACCACAACGGGATCGGTACGTCGACGGTTGGCTGTTTTATTGTGTCGTTGCAAGTAGTCGCAATGCACCTCGTTGGCCATTCGTCGCTTCTTCTTTCCCATAGCATCTCTCGGTACCTTAAGTGTCAATCCGCCACGTCGTTTGCCATCGTCCTGTACCTGGCCATGACGTTTGAGCACTTTGCTACTGAGTGTAACCTTGGTTCCGTCTACATTAACCAAGTCATCGTCATCCATATTCATTTCCTTCTCACTGTGCTCGTCCATGTCATCAGCCAGCGACGGATTCGACTGCGATAAACTGCTCTGCATGCCCGTATATAGAGGGCAAGCCTTGTTGGTGCGCATATGACCTACTTGACCGCAGGCGCCACACTTAAGTTTGAGATCCGGTTTCAGCTTAAATTTCTTACGCGACGGACTGACCTCTTTGTGGCTGTTATCGCGCTCCTTGTGCGCATGCCCTCCCGAGCTCTTAGGATCGCCCAGAGAAGTGGGCATGCCGCCTGGCTGAAGCTTCTGATTTTGTGCCAGCTGTGCTAAGCGCTCACGCTCCTGGTTGCGCTTGATACGACGCAATTGCTCCTGGATGCGACGCTTCTCGCGCTTCATCTCCTCCTTCTGCTGCTCGTCCAGCGTGGCGAATTGTTTAATAAACTGTTCGTCCTTAGTGGTGCGTATTTTAATATAAGCATCAATCACCGCTTGGCGGCGAACCGTCTCCACTCGCGTGTACTCCTTGCCATCGTTTCCTTTGAAGGTGCGAGTTATACGTAAAATGCGTCCTTGATTGTTGTTGGCCATTGGTTGCTGTGTAGCCTCCTCTTTAGCTTTGGCCGCTTTGCTGGCTCCATCGCCCTGCTCTTCTTCTAACTGGCGCAGCAGCTCTTGACGCTCCTGCTCCTCACGCTCAAGCGATAGCTGTGTAGATGTTTTCTTATTGGCCAACATATTCTCGAGATTCTTGCCTAGCTCCTCCAGGTCAGATTCTTCGGAAGCCGAGGATTCATCCTCATCAGTGGACAATACCTCAGAGCTAGCAAGCACACGATTCTGTAGATCAAAGATACGCTGGCACTCCTCTTTATAGCGTTCCTGATGTTCGGCAATGGAAAAGCGATTTCCACGCGAGAATTTATCCATACCCTCTTCACCAGCCTTGGCCTTCTCTGTGGACAGTGTGCGTACCACGTCAATGACCTCCCAGCGAGTCAGTTTCTTGATCTCCTCCTCAGGCACTTTAAACTTGCGCAACAGCTCCTTGGCCCGCTGCAGCGGCAGACGACGCAAATCGGCATCCGTTCCGGTAACCGACCGTTTAGGCTGCGATTCCTGCTCCTCTTTTGTTTGCTAGATAGACATATAAACATATAATTACATATAATATATATATACTTATTTATTTAGCAAATAATTACCGTGGGCTTATTTGGCACGCGCACATAGGAGAAGCCTTCGCCACAGCCAGTGGGATCGGCTGGTCCACTCAGCTGCAGCAGGCACTTGCCACGCATCGCTTGTATATAGGCACGCGTGGTATTCCAGGGCGCCACCTTAACCTCATCGTCCAAGAGTTGCGCCTCCTCGTCATCATCCTCTTGAGGAGCAAAGAGCGATTTCTCACCATAGCCCGCATCCTGTTATAATAAAAACAAAAACAATTAACCATTAAGAGTACTCTAGGGTATACTCTGACATCTGCACAACTTTTCGCATATATTTTAGGGAAAAGCAGTAATTGAAAATATTCTCTGTTCTCTTTGCGAGTATCTCTATAATAATTTTGATAGATCGTGTTTATGAAGATCGTGAAGTTTTATGCAACTATATACAAGAATAAATATTAAGTCTCTAGCCGAGACAAACAGATTATCAGAGCTAGATCGACTCAGCAAACATTTGTGAATTATAATATTTATACTTTGTGGAGGCCGAGACGCATTTCGAACTATCACAAAACATTAATTGCCATTTTCAATAGATTCAATGGGATCAAGGTTCAGAGGTATTTAATGACAACACACCTTTAGACGCTGTTCTGCTGCTATCATGCTAAAGTACGCACAGCATTGCTCGGGCGACACCATGGCACGTATTTCCTCTTCGGAGGGCAGTCGAAACTCTGGCTTAATGACCCACCAATTGGAGTCCATGCCTGTGCGTTTAAAGTCAGCACATTGCTTCAAACGTTTACGTATGCTGCTCTCTGAGTGGGCCGGAAAAGCGCGCTTCACATCATCCATGCGTATGCGACGTGGATTATCGCGACTTTTCCAGAACAGACGGTAAATGAAGACCTGAAATATATGAACATTTAAAAAGATTTCAAACCGAGTATTTTATCTGCCATACCTGTAAGAAATCACGTGTAAAGTTGTTGGCTCTCTTTGAATTGGGTCCAGGCACTTCGTACAGAGGACACTCCTGCCCTACAGTAAAAATAGCATTCACTACACGTATCCAATAGCTGTTACGCGTGCGAATGATCAAGAAATCCGTAGCGGACATTTTGTGTGGATAAATAGGTGCGCGATACATATTGTTCTCCAGTGCTTGTATGCACTGACCCGGGTGCAGAATACCCAGAAATGGACTCGTATGAGCAAAGGCCACTTCACCGTAGAGATAGTCCTGAGGACCGCTATCCTTTTCGGCTTTCCGCTTGTAATAGTTCTTAATCTTGGAGCACATTCCCACTTGATTCATAAGCGGCGGATGCTCTTCGCAAAACTCAGCTAAAACTATTTCACCATCTTTGCCGCTCAGATCCTCGGGATTGCGCATAAAGAAAACATCGCCGCCACCAGAAGCAATGCGCTCCACCTCGCGTTGTTTGGCTTTCTTTACAATATGTTTCAGCAATGGATAAACAGCATGCGGAATGGTCTGCGAGAGTGGACCGTGTGAAAACTTCTTTAGCGGCGGACGATGGAAGGAACGCAGCTTCATCGGTCCCATATGCGTAGGCACAAACGGAGCACGCAGCTCTACAACCGGAGTCGAGTGCTGTATGAGATTGCCTCCACCCACTTTAAGACGCAGTGTGGGCTCCGTTTTGGGCGTGTAATAGCTGTAAAACCAATCTAGTTCATAAACAATTTTAAATTAAGATTTTAATTTTACTTACGAGTCATTAGATATATTAAACGGATCACGATCTGGGCTCTTGGGTGGCGGTGGTGGTGTATCTTCGGCTAGCACATTGATCACACCAGCCTTGCCAAGCAATATTTTTGATTTTTTAACGTGTGGATGCGGAATCTTAATCTTAGGCGGCGGCCCAGTGTTCTTGTTAATCTTAGATGGATCTATGTCATCAGGTATGCCAAGTATAATGTTTTCATCATTGGGATCCAAAGTTAAGACTTTCGGTTTGGGCACTTTGATCATCTGCTGGGCATCCCAAATGACCTCGTCCTCCCACTTGTGATAGATAAGCTCCTCGTTCTCCACGGGAAACAAGCTGTACCAAGTATCATCAGCAGCCTCCACTTGCTTGTTTTGAGCAGCACTAAAAATTAAATAATTTAAATTATTAGAAGGATTAAGTGTTGCTAATACAACTTACCTCTGCAACGACTTTTTATTCGAACCAGAGTTTTGCTTGCCACTGTTGCCACCATTATTCCCGCCGCTGTTTCCGACTGGCAAGGCGGACTTACCCGGTTGACTGAAAGCGCCTGCTGTACGAGAGCCACTCGAGGGCAGCCAGCCTGCTGCATTGGTCTTGGAGTTGAGTTTTTGCAGTACCTTGGCCTTAATATCGTTGCCATCCCAGACCACATCATCCTCCCAATGCAACTGGGAGACCATAAGAAAAGCATCGTCCGCAATACTAAGCTGTTGATCGACATTTTTATCGACCCCATTTTCTGAGCGCTCATTGGAGTACTTGGATTGTGACGATGATTTATCCTGTTTGATCTTGAAGCCATAGTTGAATCCCTCACCAGAATCGGGCACCTCCAGCATATCATACCAGATTTGTGCGGGTCCATAGCGCCAATCAGCGACTTTTGGCTTCTGATCGCTATTTTCACCATTGTCCGGTCCCTCCTGTCGTACATCCTCGCTATTCAGATCACTCAACAACTTGTCCTCATCATCGGACATGCATTGTGCAGGCGTTGGCTCTGGACCGAAATTAAGACTAAAACCACGTCGACGGGGCTCCTCCGTATCGCTTGGCGAATCCGAACCACCTGTGTTGCTTGTTTTTTGATCACGCGATTGTTTGCGCTTGCGTCGACGCTTGCGTACGTGCCGCCAGATCTGTGGCAAGCTGGTGGGCTTACCCGGCCCAAACAGGCGAGAAAAACGCAGCACTTTTTGTGGTCGAAAGTCGGGAAAGAGCTCACAAACATCGACGTTTTGGTATTTAGAGGGTAATATATCCGCCAGGGGCGTATCCAGACGACGATCTGCGTCGGCTTTATAAGGAAATATATATCGTATTCAAATACAAACTTCTAAGCTCATTTAAAAGCACAGCTACCTTTTGTATCGCATGCCTTTGCATCATTGGCGCCAGACCCATCTGCCATTCCCGTTTTTGTTGGGGATTCTTCGTTACCAGAGGACGTTGCGCCGACATTTCGCACTGGCGCATTAGGCGGCGGCATTAATTCCTTGTCGTCCTTAGCTATAAGCAGAGCACATTAAGGCTAAAGCTCTATCTAAGTACATAGATACCTACTGGACTTGGCCTCTACTTTCGTAGCTGGTATCGCATCCTCCAGGTCGTCAAAAATTGATGCTACTTCGTCTGCTTGCTGTGGTGGAGGCGATGGTGTGCGTGGACAGTCCTCGGATAATTCAGTTATATCCGAATAATCGATTGCATCATCTTGGGCTTTAATGGCACCATCCTCGTTGGCCTCATTGCTTAGGCCAGCCTTCAAGGCATCAAAGGCGCTCAAAGCTTCAGCAGACTCTGCAGTCGACTTCTCCTCCACATCCTCATCGGAATTGACACCAGCATGCTGGTCAATCACTTCGTTCAAGAGTGAATTCAGACCCAATCTAAAATATATCACCACAATCATAGTTCATAGTATATATATATATATATATATATATATATATATATATATATATATTATAAAACCATATCTATATATATATATACATATATATAATAAAACTTACTTGGACAAAGAACTTAGATTTTCGCGCAGCTCCGCATCAAATGCATGCCCTTTATCACCATCGTCGTCCACAAGTTTGCCCTCTGAATCAATGTTTCCAAATAATATACCAGTTAGATCAATTCCCATATCATTTGCAGCATTGCCGCCAATGGAGCCTTCATCACTGTCGTTGTCAGACGCAGTGTCCATGCCTTGCGATTTCTTTATTGAACGCCTCTTGAATATTTCGTATTATTTGGCGTGCTGAAACACGTTTTTTATGTGCTTTTTATACTTATATTTTAGCGAACCCTAATTTTTCAAAGTTCGCTCTTATTTCAGTTTTATTCTTGAAAAGAAAATTTTGCGGCTTGCTCCTATTTTGTGCTCATTAATACAATGTGACAGCACTTGAGGCACGTCAAAATCCCCATTATGTCAAATAGAGGTGGCTTACAATATGTTATCGACATGCTGCATTACGAATGTTAATAACAGATGCGTATGGTAATGCTTTAGTGAAGAATCGAACCAAATTGTACGAAAAATAAACAATTTATTTAATGTATAAATGTTAAATTGAACATAAATAATAATGATTCTTTATAATCATATATATTTATCATAATAAGAAATCAGGCCGCTGTCGTAGTTTTTTTAGACTGTTATACCAACAGCTTCTCGTTGAGCTTGGACACTAGTAAATTAGCCTAGACTTGAACCCATTTGTCCCAAGTATGTGTAGTTGTGTATTTTTCATAATATACATATATATATCCAAATATAATTTAGCTTGATACATAATACAAGAAAAAGCAAAATAAAAAAGTTTGTTGCAATGCTTAACAAATATGTATATAAAAATAATATATATAAAATAAATCGCTGTTAATAACGCGTCAGCTGAATTTATGTTAATGTATTTCCCCAAAAGGGAAATGTTAGCCACGCATCAGCTGGTACCATTTATTATTGTCCAATTTCGCGAAATACAAGCGTGGAGCTGTTTATGAGCTGTTTTTGAAAATGGAGGTGGAATTTAGCAAGGACAATTTTTTGCTCCCCGAAATAAAATATGAATGTGAGCCAAAGTTATTGAAATAATATTATATACTAAAATTGTATTTTAAACAGATTTGGATCACACAGCTGATGTGCAGTAAGTATCTCTCGTTGAAGAGTACAAATTAATCATCAACAAATCATTTGATTTTCTTTTAGATTGCATGGTTGGGGCTCTACGTTAAAGGAAGCTTTCGAACAATGTGGCGTCGCCATGTTTGGCTACATGACCGAGCTGTCCTACGTAACAGTGAATAACTGTTATGAGATCGAAGCGAAGGGCGATGACATTGAAGGTTTGCTATTTCATTTTCTGGACGAGCTGTTGTTCCTGTTTTCGGCGGAGCCTTATTTGGTGTGCAAGAAACTGGAAATCACAAAATTCGATTTGGATAACTTTGAGATCGCCTGCCGCTGCTATGGCGAACCCTTTGAGCTGGGCAAACATCCACAGGGCACCGAAGTAAAGGCAATCACATACTCTGCCATGCAAGTGGTGCAGGATACTGCGAAAGAGCTATACGAAGTGTTTGTCATAATTGATATTTGAGTATTAAATGTGTTTAGCTTTATTGCTGTGAACTTAACCGAACACAATTCGCATTTGAGCATACCTTTTGTTCAACTCCTGTTTCCATTAATCGTAAGTTGAAAACCAAAAAAAGCTATCAGTGTAAATATATTTATGTGGAAATATATATATATATATATATATGTGTGTGTGTGTGTATGCCAGACAAAACATTGAAATCTTGAATTGCAAGCCAAAAGTCTCAAAAATAAAACATGGGTTTACGCTGAATGACTTTACAAGCAGCATTCAATTTGCGCCGAAAATGCAGTTCGAGAATCGAGCTACCCTTTTTTGGACTTGCTTTGTGAATAGGCAGCATGCATGATTCTCAGACAACCCTCTCTTAATTATTGAGGCTTGCATGGCCAGATTGCAATTCAATGCACTGTCTAGTAAGCGTACCTTTGTGTCAACATTTCGAAAATTAAATGAATCAAATGTAATTAAAGTATTTCATGAAAACGTCTCGAAAATTAAATGTCATTGAAACAGTTGGCAGCCTTGGTAAAACTGCCAACTGAGGTGCCACCTATGTATGTCAATAAACAGACCTGTTAACAGGCGCGCTTAACAGCTGTTTGAGCACACAGCTGATCAACAGCTGTTAAACGTAAACAACAAAAAAACCTTCGCGCTGCTCACGTGTGTGTGCGTCGGAGTATTTGCGTATACCTGTATTTCTGGTTCATGTGTACCGACATTAATTTGCCATCAATTTTTGGAATCCAAATGAATGGCGGAGCGATATTATGTGTTAACATTTAAATTAACACAATTGTCGCGGCATTGATGAGTGCAAAAAAGCAACGCTGTGTGTATAAGAAACTGTGTGTAAAAGAACAAACAAAGTATCAAAAGCAAAGCAGGCAATAAAACACGTACGACGACGACGACAACGACACCAATACCAATATACAAATTGCTCATTTCTCGCGCGTCGCGTACGCGAGTGTTAAGAAAAAAAAAGAAAGAAATAATTTAATTTATCTTCAAAATCAGGTACACTTGCTCAGCTATAATTGTATTAATGGCAAGTTTAGCTCAGCTTAGAATGCTGGAATAAACATTTTACAAATCAACAAAAGAAGTATTTGCCGTAAACGTCATCAACGCTGCCGCGATAGCCGCACTTCGCTGCTGTTGCTTTTCAATTCGCTTGTCGCCGCTGCCGCTGCCGCCGCCGCCACAGCCTGTTCGCCTCTCTTTCTCACTCACTCTCTAGTTCATTCTTTATGCAGCCACCAATTGTCGTGTTGAAGAGGAAGCATTGAAGCACATTTTGCTTTTATAGTTTTTTGGCAACGCTTTTCTGCGTACCAAACGTAAAGCGAGCTTAATGAAACCAAAAACAATTTATTGCTAATATTATAAGCTACACATTGAGATCAATACCAAGTGTGTGGCTTAAGTAAAAGTGTGTGAAAAACGTGGCAGAAAAATCCATACGCCAGGCCATAGAGGAACGACAAAAATGTGGTAGGTATGTATATACATATGTATATATGTATACATAACAATATAATAGTATTAGAATTTAGAGCCTGCGAAAAATGTGACGTTTGTGTTAATATATATTTAATTATTTATATACTGTGCTAGGCAAATTAATATTTAAGTAACATTCAGTTATGCCGGTCTGCAGGGCGGAGTGAAGAGAAAATCGAGCAGGTCAGAAAACATGGGCTTTCTCTTTAGGCAGGCATATATAAAACTGTAATATTTTATGGCCATATCGAATCGCGATCTGCAATACTACATTTTTGTGATTTTTCTATACGTAGCATTACTGGTGACGGTGCCCGTTTTGCGATCCATCAACATCAACCTGCTGTTGCTCAATGGCACTACTGTCGCTGTCTGTTTTGCTTGTGTGGCAGCGTGTGCGTTCGAAACTAACGGCTTTTCAACTGAGCTTACAAACAACTCGAATGCATTGCTTCAGTGATGACGCCATATTATATTGGCATTTCTAATTAGAAAATTGGCACATGTAACTCTGAATCGCAACTGATTGGACTGATTTGTGTGGGTGTGTATGCGTCAGTATTGCTTGAAACAAATTGAAACACTTAACTTAGAACCCTGCATATGTATTTATCGCGATATTTTGAACTTTTACAAAATCGTTTTCTGCTTTATAAAAAAAACGAATGATTTGCCGAATGTTGTTGAACATGTTGAACAGATTTTAAGTAAATTCGTAATATTATGGAAGTGTTAATCAGATTACTCAGAGAGAGTGTTCTGAGCTTCTTCCCTGTATCTGTATCACTAAAATAATTGATGGTTTATATATATATATATAATATATGTAATATACGTATATGCATATGTACACAAAAGATTGAATTGTTTACTAGCAGCTACAGCTACGTAGTTCACAAATTGTATAATTATAATACAAGATTCCAATACGTGGCCTTCTCTGACATATTCTAGCACATAAATCAAATATTCGATTGGATATTAAATTCCGTATGGATCGAATATAGGTAAAATGTTTTGCTAAGCTAGCCGTCGCATCTGCATAATTGACCCATAAATTGCAGAACCTTTCGGACTTGCACGTGATAAAAAGAGCCTAAGTTTAACTCTGGCAAATTCACAAACAAAAGCAACCAGTCAGAGCGAAAGCTATATTTTTTACCTGTCTCATCCAGCAGCTCTCTTGGCTCCATTGTCGCTAAGCTCTCTTTTTCTATATTATTATATTTGCCGTCCGATTACCAATGGCGATGGCAATGGCGATGGAGATGGCGACGTCATCATAGTTTGATGACCTCCGCCCGAAGCTGCGTCATCTTTTTTTTTTGTGGATTTGCCGTGGTCAAGACTATGACAGCGGAGCTGAGTGAGGGCTGAGCCAACAACAACAGATGTAGATAACTCTGCATATTTTTGGTAAGGTTCTTCTTCTTCTGCTACTGCTGTTCTTACTGGCCTTCGCTTCTTTAACCAGTTGCTTTACCTGTTTTCTAATTGGTATACATACAATACTGAGATTTCTGCTGCTGCTGCTGTGTCTTATATACCCGCAGTTTATAAAGATATACATTTGTATGCATCTTTCTATATAGTTATATTTTATATGGAAACCGTGATTTGTATTTTTCAATTAGTTGTTTCTCATTGCACATTTACTGCCAATTGAATTAAAAACTAGATTTTCCATCACTTCAGAACAGTTAGATGTTGAATTGCAATCAGACATGTGAGCATGTATGTATATAGCTCCGAGGCTTAACCAAAGAGACGGCCGTAGCAAAATGGTTTTTTACAGTTCAAATCTTACTGTTAATATACACATGGCGACGCACTTGTTTCAAGCAGTTAATTTCAGCTAAAGTACCTGTTGAAAAGTAATAATAAGAACGAAAACAAAAGCACGCTCGTATTTCATTTTGACTTTGATTTTGGACTTTTTTAAATTGTCGCTGCTTGGTGCTCGCTGCTTTTGGATCGTCGTGTTGTGCCGATCGTATCGTGTTTGTTGTTATCATTTATATTATATAGCATATATCATACATGTGCATATGTATGTATAAGGTTAAGTACACACATATCTATGTATTTGGTGGTTGTTGTTGCACTTTTCAATAAACAAGCTGCGGCGAGACTCAGAAGAGCAAAGCACTGAGCGAGAGAGGGGCACAGCCGAGTGTGTCGAGTGAGATACAAGTCCCGCACAACAAAACGCATGAAAATACTTGAACGAAACGAGTTAAAAACGATTTCATTAATATGTTTTTGTTGCCTTTGTTGTTGTTGGTTTCTTCTTCGCTTTGCTCGTCGCTTCTGCTAGTGATACCCTCTCAATAAACCATGGCGCATTTGTAGCTGTATGTAACCAATGGTTGAGTCATGTTTAAATATGAGCGTAATGATTATTGGAGCGAGTGCATTAATTTGGAAATGGCAAGAACTCCCCGTTATATATTCACCTTGAACCCTGAAAGTATGCTATAAACATTTTGCTGTATACTGAAAAGGGGCGTAAGGACATAATAGAATTATTTTTTTTTATACCCTAACCACACACATTTGGAAGTTATATAAGTTTGCATTGAAAATGAGATGCAGATAATATGAAAGAGTATTTCAGTGTGCGGTGAGGTTCAAAAAGCACACAGTCGTTTATTTTCGATGTTTGGTGTTGCTGCTGTTCGCTGTGTGCTCTGTGCTGGCCTGGCTATTTTTAAAAAGCGCGAAAGCAACAAGAAGAAACGGCGAAGCAAAACTTGACGCAGCAGCATCGCCATCATTGTTGCTTTTGGTTTTGTTGTTATGCCTTTGCCTCTGCTGCTGTGTTTGTCGCATAAGCAATGTGGAATATGGAATTCAAGAGTGCTGCTCCCATACAAGCAAATACGAACGCGAACACTAACACGAACGCAAACACGAACGCGAACACGAACGCACGAGAACACACGCACACTCGCACTCACAAGCGTCGCGACTCGCGACTCGCGACTTTATTGTTGTTGTAGTTGTAGATGTAGTTGTTGGTGCGTGCAAATTGGAGCAAAAAGTTTTTGTGCGCCGTCAGCAACGCTGCTCACGACAACATCGATTTCCTGCTGCAACTAGTTACAGAACGCGACAAAAAAGTGGCAGAGACGGGAGAAAGACTCCAGACGATGCGGAGGCTTGGTTAGAATCGGACATGAGAATTGTATGATAACTTATTTGTTCTTATACAAGCTGCTGTGGGTGATGTCGTCACTGACTGATGCTGACGCGACGGCAACAATAACAACAACAACAACGTCAACAGCAACGCTCCATAATATGCTTCCTTCAATTGGGTCATACTGGCGTCGGCAGTTCTTTCTCTCTCTCTCTCACACTCTTGTACTTAGAATATCACTCGCTCTGCCTTTGGGTTATGCAGCTACATTGCTAAACTTAATTGTTTTTTATTTTTATGAGAAAATGCACACTTCATTGATAAAATGATTAATCGTTATCATATATACATATATATATATATATATACTCGTTCATATATGTGTCAACCAAACGGTGTTGAGGCGT